CGCAATTGTTGTTCTTGAAGGGATTAGAAAGCGAGGTTCAAACTCATTCAACAACTTCTTAAATGAAGTTCTCAACAATTCTGAACAACTGCTCATCACAATGATAAATTCAACAAGAGCTCTTCTACACCTCTTCTCATCATATAAGTGATTGACTAAAGATTTTCCTTGCCTACTTGTCCTACCTGATAACAGATTTATCATTCCTTGTTTCTTATCTTTGGTGGCCTTGTGAGGGTTCTTTGGACACTTTAGGATGTGCTTCAACAAAGAATGTGTCCCATGGCATGATGGATCAGAAGCATAAGTCGTGTGGCAAAACTTGCATGCTGCTCTATGCTCCCCATTAGTTTCTTCTATAGGAAACCTAATAAAGTAATCCTACACCTCCGATGTATGTTTAAGTTCCTTTTCTTTCCTTTTTCAACCCCTTCTCTCAACATCTGTTACTTGTGTGACATGTTCTGTGGGAGTTTAGGTGGGAAGAGCACGAGGGGGAAAAGAAGGAGGTGCATGTAGAGGGACAGATTGAGGGGGAGGGGGAAGGGGAGGCAGAGGGGGAGGGGCTGCTGTTTGTGTAGGAGTATGGGTTAGGGTTTGTGTAGGTCCGGTAGGGGTTGGTGAATGGGAAGGTCCAGTAGGGGTTGGTGTTTAAGATGTTTCAAAAGGTGATGCAACTGAAGCTTGATCCTCCATGCTAGCATAACAAAATTACAGAACCATAAATTTCATAAAAATACAAAATCAAGCTTGTTATTCAATGATATAAAAATCACAAAAAAATACATATAATAGAGATGCAGAACAGTCATGTAAAAGCAATGATTATAGATTAGGAAACAAGAAATTTGCCATTTTCAACAACTTTCTTCTTATGCAGTAATTGGGATAAAAATCATTTATCAAATCAATAGCAAATCAGATAAAGTGTGTGTAATGTATTATATATGTAATATTAATACATTATAATATAATCTATAACAATAAAGCCAGAACTCAACTCATAATTGTTCTCACAATCTCGTATCATTATTTCATCAACAAAGCTTTTTTTTTTCAGACAAAAACAAATCAAATCAAAGACTAATATGGAAAAATCATGCAGGCTTGGAAGATACCAGACTCAACTTTGTACAGAGACATTGAGCATTATCTAAGTTCCACCTTAATCCCAAGTGTTCTTATTATTCAACTGGGTTCTCCTATCTACTTTGCAAACTCTTCCTACATCAAACACATGCACGTAATATTTCTCTCTCTCTCTCTATATATATATATATATATCATGACGATCCAAGTAATTGACCCTTTTTTATGAATTTAAAAACTATGAAATAGGATCATGAGGTATATTCAATACGAGGCGAGTTCTAGTACTGGGGAAACTGTAGAGCATATCATCCTCTATTTATCAGGTTCGTATGTCATTATGTTTTCAGTGAAGTACTTTTCTAGGTACATATATATTTTGTAACTGCTATTGAAGGATTATTACACTAAAAAAATGAAGAAGAGCAAATTGAAAACCTAGGCACTGGGCAGACGCGAACTGAATAAGATTTAAGAGTGGAGACTGGAGACAGAGATGAGTGAACAGCAGAACAGGTGAACAGGACAAATAAATTCGAAGAATATGCAATCTATCAACACACACAGCTGGAGTTGATGAACGCTGAACGGACGATATCGTGCCAGACTGCCAGTGGAGACTGATGGCGAACGGTCGAAGAGAGTGACTATGAGAAATACTCGAACAGGGAGAGGCGAGAGAGGAGAATGACGGCAACCATAAAGATTGTGTGAGGGCCGAGGGGAGAACAACGGCAAGCAAAGGTGTGGCAGTGTGAGGAGAGAATGACACGACGAGAGACGAGATTAGAGAATGAAGGTTAATGATTGAGCTGTGTGGCAGTGTTGGTCTGTGCTTCTGCCTTGTGGGACGCTGAGTCGCTGATCCAGTGATGCTATTGCTGACTACTGAGCCTGAGACGCCGCCGGGACTCTGGAGTTTGGACTCTAGAGTGGAGAGTAGAGAGATGATTAGGGTTAGAGATTAGAGAATAAGAGGTGGGAGAGACGCTGTTGCTAACTCTGAGTCTGCACTGCAATGCTGATTGCTGAGTTATTGATGCTTTGCTTGGTCAATTGGTCCATGCTGAAAATTGAAATGCTGGAGTTGGGCTGTAGACGCTAAGCACTGGGCAGATGGACTCACGCAGACAGCAGATCCACAATTTGGATACAAAAAAAAATATATGAGCACATTTCGGGCTGGGCCAAACGGGCAGGGCAGCATACCTTCCCCTCGCCTGAATATCAGCCCAGCCCAAAAATGCCCAAATCATGTTGGGCTATTTTTTTTGGGCCGGGCTGGGAAAAATTTTATCGAGTTTGGGCGGACATGTCGGGCAACCGGGCTCCATGAACACCCTTACTCACAACTTTCTTTGTTTCCTTCTTAGCCATACAATACCTATTTTAATTTTCATCCAGGGGTGGAGATAGGGGGACCAGCATGGGCCACGACTCCCCTAACTTTTTAACTTTTTCTTAGTAAAATGTAGTTGTCATTAAAGGATTGATATCATTTAATTTTGCTTTCATTTTATATTTGATTAAAGAAATTATAAGAATTACTATTAACAAACTTTGTCAAGCAATGCAACAAAAATCCCAAGATAAATTAAATGGTATTTTCTTGATATTTACCATAAAATCACCTATATAAAAGTTAAGAAGTTATAATTAAGATATATTCTTCTAGGAAAAAAATTACTTTTTCTATAATAACCAAACTATTGAAATTTATTATATGAATAGTTTTTACTATGATATACTTATATCTCATCGATATAAAGAATTTGTGGCAATTGAGCATCATTATTGTGTTAATATATTTATTTACTACAATTATCAATTATTGAAAGAATTAAATAATAAATTTAGTAAACAAGTAATAGAGTTTAGTTCTTTAAATTGCACAAAATTTTAGATCTCAAGAGTACATTTAAATTATTTAATGCTTATGGAGAAGATAAAATCTTCGCTAATTTAATAATAGTTTATATTGACAAAGAAATTATTAAAAAATTTATTGTAGACATGATAATTAATTATTCTTGTACCATGAAAAATTGATGTGAAAAACTTAAAAAATTAAGGTATATATTTATTTTTGTTATTTATGTATGTATGTATGTATGTATGTATGTAAAATTGAATATAAATATACTCATTAAAATATTTATGTTATGTTAGTGATATATATATATATATATATATTTAATTTTCTTTCGATTATCATATATGATTTGTTATCTCGGCCCTCCTTAATAAATTTTTTTGGCTTTGCCCCTATTTTCATCATTATTGCACAAATGGATGGATTTAAAATACTCCTTCTTATATTTAACTTTTTTCAATACATTGTCATTCCACTACCAAGATCCCTTATCTCTCATACCGAAACCTTTTAACTCTTCAAAATTTCTTTAGCAATCTTTCTTACCTTCTTAGCTATATTCTCCCATAAGATGCTAGCACTTCTATGAGACTCCCAAGTTCCCTCAACCAAAAGATTCAACTTGAAAATTTCTCGCTTCTCATTTTTTAATTATCACTACCTAATCCTCTGATTTATATCTTGTTTGCGCTTTTGATTTTTACTCACAATATGCACATTAAGGATAAGGATCCTATGTTGTATTGTTATAACATTCTCAGGAATCACCTTATAATTTTTATAAAGTCTTCCATCTATGTTCCTTACCAAAAAAAATTAATCTTTGACCTCAATGCTCCACTTTTGTAAGTGATGAAATGTTCATCTCTTTTCTTGAAACAAGTGTTAACCATCTTGAAATCATACGCCAAAAAAAAAAATCAAGAATAAATTGTCCTTTATTGTTTAACTCTTCAAAACTAAAACTATCATGCACCCTTGCATAGTTACCTACCTCCCTCTCGACATGACCATTAACGCCTCCTCCAATAAAGATATTTTCACTTTATGGTATAGATTGAAGCAACCCTTTTAAATCTTTCAAAATATCCTTAAGACTAGCTTCTGCCCTAGCTTGAAGTGTATAAGTGTTAATAATATTGACAGTCTCTCATCTAAATGATCATTTTTAAAGAAATAATTATGTCTGTAATTCATTTAACTTCTACCATGTTCTTTTTTCACTTCTCATCAATAATGATACCCACCCTATTTCGTGTGCTTACTTTTCATGTATACTAAAATTTAAAACCTTGAATATCTTTAGCTTGTTCATTGGACCATTTAGTTTCCTACAAGCATAAAATATTAATTTTTTAATGAATCATAATTCCTATCACCTCCATATATTTACAATTCAAAGTTCTAACATTTCAAATATCAAATTTGATCTTGCTCACATGGATTAAATTCTTTAGCCATGTTCATTTAGAACAATGCAGTAGCCCTTACTCATTTAACACTACGTCTAGGAGTCAAAGTAGCAGCTCTCACTCATTTGTCATTGCACTCTGCACTCAAGTCATATAACACATTACTTATGCAACAACCTAGCATTAGCACAAAACCATTAATTGTCCATATTCATTTGAGATTCAACAAAGTTTTATGTTGGTCATTGAGGATGCTTAACACAATTATCCTCCTTTACTCGGGCTTGAAACCAACTATAAATATAGGCAAGGTTTCATACTTAAATACCATTTAAAAAATATAACATTTGTATAGAGTCTAAATAAAATATAATATTCATAATATGACTTGTTATAAATTTAATATTAGGTATATATATATATATATATATATATTGATAGTCCTTGTATCCTGTAATCCATCATATTTTGCAAAAAGAGTGATTCAAAACCTGTATTGTTCTTTCAGGTAAAAAAAAAACAAAAAAGCCTGCATTGTCCCTCCTCATAAATGCACTGGATCTGGTTATCAATTTAAAGTTTCTCAATTTTCTATAAAATTAATTGTGTTAATTTCTTAGAGAAATTATCCTAAAACATAACTTGTCAACCGAATCTCGGCCACTAAATCAAAGTAAAATCTAGAAATCAGTCCACCGTAATCTGGTTCCCTCTTCTCTCTTGCGACTACAGAGTCACGCACATTGCCGGACCGGAAGAAATCAGATCAGATAAGCAGGCAGCTCAATCTGAAGAGTTCGACATGCAGGCCTCAAGGGTGTTGCTACTATCTCCAGTACCAACCTCCATTTCACGAATGGGCCGTTTCAGATCCTCACCATCACTTACTTTCACAAAGCCAAGGTCGTCGACGTCGTCACCCAAAATCACGGCAATGGCAAAGGAGGACAGCGACGCCGGCGGCGAAGGCATAATAGAGAAAGCAGCGATAGCAGGAGGGCTGATATCGAGCCCAGTCATCGCGTGGTCTCTCTACACGCTGAAAACAACGGGGTGCGGATTGCCTCCCGGTCCAGGCGGCTCGATCGGCGCACTGGAGGGGGTGAGCTACCTGGTAGTGCTGGGGATAGTGGGGTGGTCAATCTACACGAAGACGAAGACGGGTTCGGGTCTGCCAAACGGACCGTTGGGTTTGTTGGGTGCGGTGGAAGGGCTGTCGTATTTGGCGGTGGCGGCCATAGTGGTGGTGTTCGGGTTGCAGTATGTGGAGCAGGGTTACATCCCTGGTCCTCTCCCAGCTGATCAGTGCTTCGGCTAGAGCCTACCATCAATTGTGGACCACTCCAATTCTATCTTCTTCTCGTGGATACTGTTGTTTCTTGTTGCCTTTATTTCTTCCATTTCCTTTGACCCTCGAGTGATCCTGATCCCTGTAATAATAACCCAAATCAAATATTTTTTCCCACCCAGTACGCAGTTGCCTTTTTCTATTGTAAGTTGTTTTTTGTGTGTGGGTATTTTCGTGATTCAATGTATAATATAAAAATAAACTTTATAACAAGGCATTTATAAGTAGTAGTATACACCAACCTTATACTTCACAGTGAACAATAAACAAAAAGCACGACTCATTTTAATAATAATAATTAAAAAAATGTCACCCGCAAATTTGATTATGAACACGTATTTAAGGTTCATGGCTTTTAAATATTTATTTTTTTATAAATTTTATATTATTGTATATAAATGGATAGTATATATAATAGATTTAAAAAAAGTAAGACTTATATACTTAATATATTTATATTAAATTAAATCATAACAAGTGAATTTTAATATGTTAATAAAATTAATAATAAGAATTTATTATAAAATAAATAATCTATACAAGATTCATATATCTTAATGTGATTAGAGTCGGGAAATGGACGGGCCTAGCATATATGGACCTAGCCTTTACGGGCCTGGCCCTTATGGACTTAAGCCCGAAAGTTCAATTACCTCAATTTCACCCAAAAGTTGAGGCTCGATTCTTATTCAAAGAACTCAAGGCCAAGCCCATAAGCCCGTTTATAAAAAAAATAAAATAAAATTTAACATTTTAATTTACTTAGAGTATTCTAAAATTCAATATACATTAAATCAAAGTCTCACGTAATTTAAAAAATAAACTCAAGATTTAGAAGTTCAAATAAGATAAAGACAAAAGTCATCATCAATGCTAATTAAGATCTCCCTCATCATCATTCACAAATAAAATGTTATTTTCAACTCTGTCACAGGCCTGAAAGTGAGAGAGTGAGAGATCGAGTATGAGTATGCTGCGTAGGGTTTCTTTAAAAGTTGAAAGTCCAATCCTAATTCGGCCATTCCTCAAAGTCCAATATAGAAGGAAAAAAAAAAGTTAAACGGGCTTGACGGGTCGCTAGGGCCCGAGCCCCTTTTTTTAGAGCTAAAAAGAGCCGGGTTTCGAAGCCTGGTTATATTAAAAAATATTAAATTTTTAAGCCCAAATCCCTATTAAAACGGGCTTAAACAGGCAGCCCACCAATCTTAGCCTTTATTCTCAACTCTAAATGTAATTGAAAACAAATACATTTAGTATATAAGGTTAAATATATAAGTTTTTTCCCTAGCCAAGCAACAAATTAATTTTTCCCTGGCTTCGGAAACAGAAATCAAAGCAAATTCAATGTTTTGTTTTAAGAAGAATTACAGATAAGGACTTGAGAAGAAATTTAATTTCAAGTAAATCCAAAACATTTTAAAATTTTAATTTAGTCCATGTCTGAGAAAAATCAAAAGAATTTCAATTGTGAAAATATCAAAATGCCCTTCTCCTATTATGTGGAATTACTAGTTGTTAATTTACAAATATGAGTTTCAAATTACATAAGTTAATATATCAATAATTATATAAGATTTGTAACATTAGTTTTTCAATTATAAATAGTAACATCAGTTATTAAATTATTAACTTTACTTGTTAATTTATTAATATTAGTTGTAAATTCTTGACAAGTCTTGTAATTTACTAACATTAATTATGAATTACTAACAAATCTTGTAATTTATAACCGATGTTAGTAAATTAATAAATAAAATTAATAAATTAACAACTAATATTGTTGATTATCTAATAAAAGAAAGTAATTTATAAGTAATATTGATAAATTAACAAGTGCAATAAAAAAATTAATAACTAGTGATTTTGTGTAATAGATGAATGGTATTTTAATTTTTTTTACAGTCAAAATTCTTTTGACTTTTTTTTCTAAATTAAACTGAAATTTTAAAATATTTTTGGATCCACTTGAAATTAAGTCTCTTCTTAAATTCTTAATTAAAATTCTCCCTTTGTTTTATTTACAAAACAAATAATATTCAAGTTTTCTTTATGAATGCACCGAGCAAAGCCAACACAAACTTTTGATAGCGATTGAAGCCTAGAACTTTTCTACACGAGCTCTTTTATATGCAGTACAGTCATTCAATTATATTATATTATAAGTTTTGCTGGCATTAGGGTAGCAAATTAAATATGCAATGGTCATATTTAGTGGCACCATGAAAGAAAAACATGGGTGGACGTCGTATAACTATGGACATAAGTGAACGAATACCATTAAAAAATTGGCAAAAATCTGTAACGGAATCGAACTAAGCTTAAGGTGGCAGAAAAAAATTCCTCCTTTGTAGGAGACCATTGAGGAATGACATGAACAGTCAAGTATGGTGAAATCATATCAGGCAACAAGTTTTCCTTTTCTTTCTTTTGAGAAGTCTTTCATTTCTCCAAACAGGTACCGTCCCTTAACTCATTATCATTTCTTCAAAGACATTGTAATCAATCAAATTCCTCATTTCATTATTTGATTTCTGTACCCTTTTAATCTTCATCTGCATTGTTTCTAAAAGTGTTCTTGTACTTCTCTCAGGGTTCTCAGTGTTTGTGACAGGAGCAGCTAGGGGAAAGGTGGAGCTTCCGGCGACGTGTAAACATTTGGCCGGAATTCTCAAGTTCTTCATGTTCTGAATCCAAAGAATATAAATATAATGTCTTCCTCATCCCCTGACACTGCTCCGTCTTCAGATTCTGGTAACAATGACAACAATAGTGATGATTATGGAGATCCATCGCAAAGCCCTCCATCACCTCCACCACCAGATCATCAGACGGCGGATCCTAATGACGATCCATTTGTGAATTCTCCACCACCGCCTGACCAGAACTCTTCGGGTTCCAATAATTCCGACTCTGGTTCGTCGTCGGGTTCCAATTCCGATTCTGGTTCATCGAACAAAGGTTCTTCTGGTGGTAAATCCCCATCTCCATCTTCAGGTCCTTCACCGAACAATGGTAAATCGTCGAATTCTGGTTCATCCTCCTCTGATTCGTCGTCATCGTCAACGCCTAATTTAACACCAAAATCTTCCGGTGGGAACAAGCAGTCGCCTCCTGCACTCCCAGATTCCAGCGAAAAAAGCAGCGGCGACAAAAATGGCGACAGCAGAGCAATCATCGGAGCCGCCGTTGGTGTGGGGTTTCTTCTTCTTATAATGATCGTCGTCTGTGTCATTTGTTGCAGAAAGAAGAAGCGAAAGCATAGGTATTACTATAGCGATGATGGCAAACCCGGCAAATCTGGTACGGTTTTCAGTTCATTCATTGAATTCAACTTTTTTATACGAAGAACGAAGAACCATGTGCACCATTTTTAGTTGCTTTTGGTCACAAATCTTGTGCAAATAGATGTGCACGTCACTCATTCCGTATTCAAACAAGTGCACGCATGCTGCTTGTGATTATATAAATATCCTATATAATTTATGGATAATGTAGTTCTATAGATTTTAATATTTTATATTCATCGCGAACTAAACTGATATTTTGGCAAGACTATAAATTGGATTTCAAAATTAATAAATTTTTGTAAATGAATTTTTCTTTATTTTTGAGTAACGACAAAACAATAATGTCTAATAAATTTGCTACGTTGAAATATTAATTTATAGACTTATGATTTCCATGGCTTGTTTTATATATATCAGTGACATTGATTTAACTCTTAAATAAATAAATATATATTAATTATATAATTTTCAAAATTATACAAATATATATATATATATATATATATATTAATAAATATGTCAGGATCGTTATATATTAGTTCAACATAATAATACAGATTCTTTTGAAAAAAGGTTCACTTTTGTTTTGAACAATTCATTTGCTGGAGACTTGCTGACACCTGTTTAGCCAAGCTAATAACTAAGCCAACCACCTTTGATATATTCAGGTATTCAAATTAAGGTTCCTTTTCTTGGTTCTTTTGCACAAGAATGTAACTAATAATAATAATAATAATAATAATAATCTAAGTGACTAATTAATAAGGATCCAAGAATGAGGATGCTGCAAATATTTAGGTGAATTCATAATTAGATATGATTCCAAAACATGCATGTGCAGCTAGTGGATATTACAACAGAGGGCAGAACCCGAATAACTGGCACCCAGGTGGGAATGACCATGTTGTGAGGATGCAGCAATCACCGGGCATGGGTACGGGCATGGGTCCGGATAGTGGTGGGTGGGGCCCAGTTCCTCCGCCTCCTCCACCGCACAGCACTGACATGAGTTCCAATTACTCACTGGGGCCACCGCCCCTGCCTCCGCCATCCCCAGGGCTGTCATTAGGGCTGAACTGTGGCACCTTCTCTTTTGAAGACTTGGCTGCTGCAACGGAGGGCTTTGCTGATAAGAATCTGATAGGACAAGGAGGTTTTGGTTACGTGCATAAGGGTGTTTTGCCTAATGGAAAAGAAGTTGCAGTGAAGAGCCTGAAAGCTGGCAGCGGCCAAGGAGAGCGTGAGTTCCAAGCTGAGATTGAAATCATTAGCCGTGTTCATCATCGCCATCTCGTCTCGCTTAATGGCTACTGTATTGCTGGTGGACAACGAATGTTGGTTTATGAATTTGTTCCCAACAATACCCTTGAGCATCACCTTCATGGTAGAGCATTCATTCAATTGCTTAATTTTACACTCTCTTAAGACATGCATATTGTAACATACAGATTTGATGGTCTTGAGCAGGAAAGGGTCTGCCAACCATGACTTGGCCTGATAGACTGAGAATTGCAGTAGGATCTGCCAAGGGGCTTGCATACCTTCATGAAGACTGTGAGTTTTATGATCGTGATATGTACACTTCAATTTGTTTTTTTGTCATATTAATTTTGATCTCTCTCATCTTTGCTTGATTGACAAGTTATATAATGCGCTCAGGTCATCCTCGAATTATCCACCGTGATATAAAATCTGCTAATGTCCTACTTGATGACAGCTTCGAAGCCAAGGTTTCATTTGAAGCAATCCAACTTATTATATATTCACACATGTTCACAAATATATTTAGCAATATAAATTGAATTGCAAACCCCATGTTAATGCGTACATATGTTAATCATCAGGTGGCTGATTTCGGATTGGCCAAGTTGACTACTGATAATAACACTCATGTCTCAACTCGAGTCATGGGAACATTCGGGTATATAATTTTCCTTCAATACATGCTCTAATTAAATACATAATTAATTACACCGTTGCTTAATTTGGATGCTAATTAACTCAGGTACTTGGCTCCGGAATATGCGTCAAGTGGAAAATTGACTGAGAAGTCTGACGTGTTCTCTTTCGGAGTGATGTTATTAGAACTTATGACGGGGAAGCGACCGATAGATATCCAAAATATGATGGATGACAGTTTAGTGGACTGGGTTAGTATTGTTTTTTCTACCTTATGTTATAAAAGCTTTTTTTTATTTTTTATTTTATTTTTGGCTGTATGATAAATATGTGTGTAATATGGATCAGGCTCGACCACTTCTGGCAAGGGGGCTAGAGGATGGCAACTTTGAAGAGCTAGTGGATCCGTTCTTGGAAGGCAATTACAATAACCAGGAATTGTCTCGCATGGCTGCCTGTGCTTCTGCCAGTATTCGTCATTCTGGCAAGAAACGTCCAAAAATGAGCCAGGTACATACACGCATCGATCTTTTAATTAATATTGGATCTCCTTCCTTAAAACCAGAAGACTGTACGTTGTCTCTCAAGAATTCATGCAACATGTATGTGGTTACATGCAGATTGTAAGAGCACTGGAAGGAGATGTGTCACTGGAAGACTTGAACGATACAAGGGCAGGGCATAGCCATCTTCTGGCATCTTCATCGAGCTCAGACTACGATTCAAGTGCATATCAGGCTGATATGAAGAGGTTCAGACAGATAGCTCTGGCGAGCCAGGAATTTGGGAGCAGTGAATCAAGCGGTGAAATGTCTCAGCTTCACCAGATTCCAAAGCAACACCTTTAGGGTACTCCAAAATTTATCATTCGTACTGCAAATTATTCAAGGCTACTTTGAATCGATGATCGACCTTTGTGTCCTCGTCACTTGTAGCCATTTTGCTGACGGTTAATCAAGCAAGGACAAGAAGAGATCCACCCATTGCTTCAACTTTTCAAGAGCGCGCCTTAGAGAAAAAGATTCTTTAGTAGACTGTGTTTATTTAAATAAAATAAACTAATACCACAAAAAAAAAAAATCAATCATTTGGAGCTGCCACATTGGTGGTAAATTGAGGGACTGATTGCATGATCATGATTTCATTGAATTAATTTACATTCTTTTAATTAGACACCATCAACCCAAGAATTTTTTTCCCCGTTCATTTTTGTGCTCACGGAGGATCTTGTACAATTAAAACACCGATCAATGTGTGACCTCATTTTTTAATCACTACTGGTTTGTGTTCTAAAATATAAAGATTTGTATTATTGTATATTTATGAACATTCTTTAGATTGGTGAAGGCATGATATTCTCTTATTCCTTTATTTTTCTTTTGGAATTTGAATGTTTTTTATATTTTATTTTGTGATTAAGAATATACGCGTGTGTGTAGCTAAATCAAACACTACAAATTAGCTGTTGATCTATTTATGGGTATAGTTTATAGGACGAATGGATTGACTTTGTTTGTTCCATTTTTTCTATTAAAATTTTGAATGCCAGTCGCATTTAATTTGTTTAGTTCGTCTCGTAGATTGTCTGAACTGAATTGTTCGATTTCTCAAGAAGCTGTTCATGTACATCCCATTTCATGAAGAGAATTTAGCTTCTAATTTGTAATAAATTAGCATACCAATATGTCAAATCTCCAATATCTTTGTCGGATTCCTAAATAATATAACATATCGTTTGGATGGGTGGATTTGTTAAAATACATGTATTTAAAATCTTTTATTTGAATAGTTTAAAAAATTTTAAATTAAGAGGAGAGGTGAGTTGAAATTAAAAACAAAATGGAAAATTGGGAGTGATAAATTTACCATTATTTTTTAATTAATGAGAGTTGAAAATAATGTATGAGAAAAGTGGTATACACTACAGCATTAGTCGTGCATGTACCAAATTAGACTAGTGGACACCCTAGGTCAAATCTATTAACAAGTTGGATTTTATATTGATTAAAAATAAACAACAAGGAAAATTGGTTTGATTAATTTTCTAAAAATGCAATTAGAACTCTAACTAATGTTCATACAATTTTTGTTTTTAGAAAAAATGAGTGAACAAATGAAAGTGTGTTTGCAACAATGAATGGAAATGATCCCTACAAGTATGTTGATTTCAAATATTTTCATGTGTTATTAGGAAATTTTAGATTCAATTTGGAGTCATTTAAGTAATTGTAAGAGAAAATGAGGCTATTACTTGAGAAAAAGGAAAGAAAAGTGTTTTTGAATATCAGAAGGAAGACTTAGTAATATCTTGTTGAAATGAATGAATTGCTTGAGCTAAAATTACATTAGTAACCTAAATTATGAGTCAAAATGCTATATGTAAGTAAAGATTGAAGATGAAGAAAAAGTAAGATTATGATATAGTATATCTGAATTATGCAACAACATAATTCAATGACAGTGGCAGCGATAGTAGGTTTACATCGCAACATAACCCAATGATGCCATAATGTAAGCATTAGTTAATGAAATGCAGAGTTTCACGAAAAACTAATATTTTTAGGGTTCTAAACATTTTTGCTCGGCATTCTTCATCTTTGCTCATCTCCAGTAGCTCCAACTGATTAGGAAAGTGAGAAAAACACCATGGATGAGATGGAGAAGATTGAATTTCATGAGAGATTAGTGATTTTCATCTAAAATCATTCTAATTAAGCTTTTCTTCTCCTTCTCTTCTTCATTTTGATGTATTCTCTGTTTAGTTTTGCAATTTTTAGACTTATGTGTAGCTAAATCTCTTAGACCTAGAGGAACTAAAAACCTATTGATGGATTAGACTGGTTTTTATCCATTAGTTATGCTAAATGTTAATTTTAGTTGCTTAATCTTATACTTTAATGTCTACTTGATACTTGGCCAACATTAAATGTGATTTTGAGTATTGGAATTTTTTCTTGATAAAGGAGAATCTCATTTAGATCATTGGATTGAGCAATATGGGATTAGATTTTATCTAATTTACAATTACAATAGACATGTACCTAATTGCCTCATATAATCATTGTGAAGTGTTCTTGGTTTGCGTTGCTTTTTGGATAATTGTATTAGAAATAATATAATTAATTTAAGAGTTCTTAGTGGATTGAAAGACCCTAAAACTCTTGATGAACAAAATTGGCTTTGAAATTAGTTAATTAGATTAAAATGGAGTCTACGAAATTAATAGGGGATTATTAACTCTAGGTTGCTCTTTACTTAAATGGGTGTTGGATTTAAGCATTTCCTTGAGTCTTTATTAAATTTAATTTTAATTTTTATTAATTAATCAATTTCAATTAGTTTTGCTTAACGTAAATAAAAATAGAAACTTTATTGCCTAATCACTATTTTGCTTGATTTCTTATGAGATCAACCTTAACATACTAATATATTATATTTTAACATGTACAGTTATGGTAATACATTTTAGTGTGCATCAAACTACGATGGTGAAAAAATCCTCACTCAACAATTAAATTGCTAAGAAAATGCTCTCATCGACCAAATATAGTTCAAGGCCATCCCAAACATAACTAATAAAGCCAAACACACAACCCTAACTATTAATAGTCATGTAGTGAATTAAATTAGCATCATTAAGCTCTCCATATGTTATCTTATTGACTTAGAACAGTACTTAAAACAATACTTAATCAAGAATTAATTCCAAATTAACTTCAACTAGAATTTGTCAAGGCTTCACAATATAACTACACAATTGTGAATGCTAAGAACATTCAACAATTTAACACAATGCAACTATACATTAAACTATTGAATTCAACAATTAAATAATAATTCTAGCAATCAATCAACTCAACAACAAATATCTTCAATCAAAATGACAAAGGCATTAATAAACACCTTAAGTGTAATATTACAACTTCACCAATTCAACTATGAAAAGAGAAATTACAAATAGAAAAATCAAAAGGAACTAGAGTAGTCTAGAAATCCTAAGACATTAAAATCCACAAACTCAATTTCCAATCCATCAATCACTAGTAAAAAAATGAAATTTAGCAAAGGACAAATCTTTTACTAAATTGCATTTTAGTGAGGGATTTTGTCTCTTGTTAAATTCATAACTAAAAAAGAGCTCGCTAAATTTAGCAAGGGATCATATTTTTCTCACTAATTAGTGAGAAATTTAATAAGAAATTCAGTTCCTTGTTAATTTTTAGCGAGGGCCACATCCCTTACTAATCTTTCCCTAAAACTATTCAAAATTCAATAACTTTAGCTAGGGATTAGTCCCTCATTAATTCCTCACTAAATGTGCTTACATTTGAAAATGATGATGTCATATCACCCACCATATGTACGTCAACTTATGACATGTCAACAACAATCCTGTGCCTCATCAACCACCATGTCATCTACCATCTCGTGCCCCATTATTCACCACATGTGCGATAACTCATGATATGTTATTGTTTATCTTACACCATGTCACTTGCTCCTTATCATATCACATATTCATTTTGTTTATGCTAAAGTTAAGACTTGAACTCTTAATCTCATACATTTCAAGCTTTATGCTCTCCTTCTTTACCAACCAAATTGAAAGGCACACCTAGTCATTATATGAAAAGTTAAATATATATTATTTAATTACATAAATATATTAAATAATATATTATAAAAATACTCACATATATACATATGAAATTTTATTTTCAATTATTAATATGTTAAAAATATTTATACATTATTTAAATTATTCTTTATATTATATTTTTAATAAAATATTATTTTATTAATGAAAATAAACTTAAAATAAATAAAATATTAAATATTAAATAATTTTATTATAAATATTTTTGTTAATTTATAAATTTAATTTTTATTTTTAAATAAAAATAATTAAATATATAATTAAAAGTCATCATCAAAAGTTAAATTTTTTTACAATAATTAGCTAGGGATAAACTCTCTCACTAAATCCATCACTAATTATCTTATTTTAGAAAGAAATTGATAATTCCTCACTAATTGTCTTATGTTAAAGTGGGATTGAGAGTCTTTCACTATTTTTCTTGCTAATTTTTTTATTTTTAAAAAAATTAACAATTCATCACTATTTTTCTCGTTAATTTTAAGTCGAGCTATGAACTTAATATTCCTCATTAATTTTTTCACTAATTTGGTATTTTGAGAGGAATAGACATGATGATGCTCTCATTTTTTTTAGTTGAATGACATTTTTCTCATTTAAGAGAAAAATTGTAACCTTATTATTCTTTATCAATTAGAACAGCCTTTTATATTAAATAAATAAAAAATGAAAATATCTAAAAGTTGTTATTTATAAGAATCATATAAATAAAAATTTAGGATAAATGATAATAAAATCTCTTTGAATTAGAAAAAATTTTAGGATAAATATGTCATTTAACCCTTGATCAAACTTTAGTTTAACGATCAACATTTTTTATATTTAATAGTGGGATAAAAATGCACTCTTTTTGAAAATTTTGGGACAAAAATGCTCCAAAAAAAGTTTAGAGTATTAGGCGCCTTTGGAGAAAAAGTTTTAGGATAAATTTGCCATTTAACCCTATTTAATATTAAAAGCTATTTTAATTGATAAAGAATAATAAAATTATAATTTTGCTCATAAATTGAATGGCCCATAATGAAAACAACATCATTCAACTAGAAAAATAAAAGCATCATCATGTGTGTTAAAAGTAAAAATTATAATATTATCCTTTCTTAAATTGTGTTAAAAATAGTAAAAATATTTTTTCTATGTCATTTGCCATGTGTATTGTATCAATATGACATGGCAATAACTATATTAATAAAATAATATTTAATTAATGGTAAGGATTTTTGAAAAATAAAATGAAAAGTTATGAAGTTAATTTTAAACATTGAAAGGTGAATAAAGTCATATACAATTGTTTTAAATTTAGGGAGATTTTATGCACAATTATTAGAAAGTGTCACCAAATAAAATTTTGGGAAATCACTGTAAAGCCTCTCATAATTATTCTAATTCTAAATATACAAAAAGTCTCACCAAATACATAAATGCTTGTGAAATCTGTGGAGACTTAGCTCTACATGTGTGCGCACGGGCGCACACACACAGATAGATAGATAGATAGATATATATATATATATATATATTGTGGATTAATCATAGTGCCCACACGGAAAAAAAGATACTCCTTCCATCTTTATGTATAAAATATTTTTAAAAGAATCTCGCAATCAATAAAAATTTATTATTTAATTAAACTTACATAAAAACACAATAATTTTTCAGTTGTATCCTTAATAATATCGTAATTAATATCATGATAGTGGTAGGAAAAACATACATTAATGATCTATTTCATTTTTTAAAATAAGAATAAAGTTATTTAATTAATTAAAAATATTATTATTACCTTTTATATTTAAAAATAAAATAAATTTTTAAAAAATATTTTATATATCGAGATGGAGGAAGTAATTGCCTCTCTGATCTTTGATTTATCAAGATCGCCTCTTTCTTTCTCAGTCTCTCGACGGCACAATAATAATAATAATAATAATAATAATAATAATAATAATAACAACAACAAAATTTAAAATTACAAAAAAAAAAATCCACCGCCCTCCCCTTTGTCTTCCTGGCGTGTCATGGGCATCACAGATTTAGCTAATCAGAACAACAAAACATACAAAAATGAAGAGCAAAATGAAAATTGTTGTCCCAGACGAACCTCGGGCTCCAACAGCTTGGAAATATTACCGATGTCATCAGAGAAGACAAGGCCCTGGATTGTTACCGTTCAATACATTCTCTATGATTTCCCACTCAATTCAGTCCTTGTAAATTGGGTCTTGCTGGACTTGGTTTGTAATTTTGCCCACTCCTCAAAGTTGCGTGCATGCAAATCCTTTGCGATCCATTTGAGGTATCTCGAGGGGAGGGTTCCTAGCATTTTTCCTTTGTTTTTCCCAAAATATATTACTTTGCCTCTGACTAGGATTATTTGGGGCAATACTGGTTGTTTAGGAGGTATTGAGCATCCAAAATAGCAATTCACTGGTAATAATAATCGATTCTAATGATTGATGGGATTTTGAGAGATAGATGTTCGGAAATGAAGGAGATTCTTGGAGCAATAGAGTATAAGAATCTTCCTTCTTGAAACTGTAACCTACGCAATGGAAACCCCAAATTAGAGTCAGAGAATATGAGTCGAATTATATAGGTTGATCTGAATTGATCATAAGGGTTAAATTAGGTTAAAAAAAATTGATCCAAATAAAAATTAATTTTTTCTTGCTCGAATCATATAACCCGTAAATCATATGGGTTAATATTAATAAGTTAGGGTTAGCTCATTTAAACCATATTTAAAAAAAAAAAGAGAAAATGTTGTAGATATAAATCGTATTAAACATGATTTACTTAGCTTTATCAATTTATATATTTTGTACAAACATTATAAATTAATATTTTAATATATTTAGAATGTATCATAAAAAAATATCAAATTAGAATTTATTACTTAGGTTTATTTTTTAAAAAATTATTAATAAATAAATAAATATGGGTTGGCAGGTTGGTCCATTTAGCCCGTCAACCCTTAAGGATTGGGTTCGGTTGAAATTTTTCAACTCATATAAAAATGAGTTGAACTCAATCCAACCTATATTTCTCTCAACTTATATAAATTGAGTTGGCTCATATTCTTACCTCTACTCCTAATGTCAAGTCTAACTTTGACTGTGGGGAATTACCCTATTATTGAAACCAAAATAGGCTTTCTAGTGTGTTTGGTTTTCAATTTGCTAAATGTTTATTTAGTAAAAGTTAATCAGTTTAGTAAAAGTCAATTGTTGTAACGAAATTTATATTTGAATGTATTTTTTTTTAAAGGTCAGTTTGGTATATTAAAAGTTATTTGGTTTATGATAATGAAATATGTTTTTAAATGTACAATTATCAAAATAAACATTGATTTATAATGATTTGTAATTTTTATTATACAAATGTAATATATTTAAAATTTTTAAAAAATGTTATAAAAATTTTAAATAACATAAATTTTGATTTATAATGCCAAAAGTTTAATTTCTAGTTAATTTTATTTTTTTAATTTATAATTTTAGAAAATGTGGTAAAGATTTGTAATTTTTGTTATACATTAATGTTAAAGATTAACATGATTAATTATTCAATTTATAATGCTAAAAACTTGATATCTAATTATTATTATTGAAATAATAATTATATTTTTAATAAATTAACTATTTTTTAAATAAAAAATAAGATATTAAACTAAAGGTAATATGATCAAATAATATTCTACTTTTTACACTCACTTTTTAAAAATTTGAAATAGTTATATTTTAGAAATTCACTTTTAACTATTATTTGAATGTATTTTTAAGATATCCTTTCTTATAAAATATTTTATTCAAATAATTTTTTAAATTTTTTAAAAATAAAATTTTACTTTTTAAACGTAAGAAATAAAAAAAACCAAACGGACTCCTAAATGATCGGCATTCTAGCTAGGTTGGGGGCGGTGACCGGTGCCGTACACCTTCCATGGCCCACCGATGGTGGGATGGAGAGTTTTGAATTATTGAAAGATGTAGGGAAGAAAAAAAAATATGGGCAACCAGTAATTAGCCAACACAAAAGTATTTACACCGGAGTCTTTATAAATTTCAGTAAGAAAAATCACATTTAACTTCCTTTTGAAAAAATTAATATTAAATAAAAGTTAATATAAAATAAATTATTATTAAAATAAGAACATAATTTATATTTTTTTAAAAAAATTTATTTTTAATCTTTATTTATAATTTTTTTTATAAAGGTGTTAAATGGGATTCTCTCATTTCAAAGTTATTTATCCATTTGATGGGAGCTTTGAATAATTAGAGTCTTTTATGGGATTCAACAGTGATTTTCTCTAAAATCTATTCTCAAATGCTCCGTTTTTCGGAAATTTTTCTGCTGGTGCCTTTGCTTACAAATTGCTAGTTCTTCGGCTAATTCACCCGCTCAAACCCAAGGGTCTTCTTATTCGTATTTGTAAATCGTGGCTCGCCAATACAAATCGCAGGTCGAAACCTTTTTCTCCTTGTACGAGTGGGATTTTGGGTTCGGTTTGCGCCCAGATTAGTGAGCTGGCAAAGCTTTAACTCCGTTCCAATTTCCAGTTCGAAGTTTCTAATTGAAAGTGAAGGATAAGGTAGACCTGTGGCCCTTGAAATGATAACCCGATCTAAACTTGTTGAGCAGCTCAGAGATTACCAGATCCGATCCCAGCATAAGTACTCCGCTCTCACAATCTTCTCTCCCAAACCCCATGTCAATACTCGGTACAATTTTTAACTCAACTACCATTGTTCTTTGGTTTTAAGTTTCCAATTAGATGGTATGGAAAGCCCTCATGTAACTCCACCTGTTACTGTAATGTTAGTAGAGGTGGGAAAGACGGCATTTTGAACTATTGCTTTATTCGCTCTTGAAGTTGAAGTTGTTGTATTTCAGTGAGAATTTGTTTCATGGATTAATTTGTTGTATTCTGTATATTTATTTCTCAATAGTTGAAAATTTTGGCATACTGCTGGCTAGCATCACTTGGAGAGCTTATTTTGTGTCATTTGCAAACTGTGATTGAGGAGCATGCCCTAGGAGCTGAGTTTGGGTAATTAAATAAATGTCCATTTATTAGAGACACTTTATTGTCAGCTAGATCCCAACTCTATTCTCACATCGAGCAGTGCTATTCAATCCCAAGAATTTATGTCCTAGTCAAATCTGTGCTTACCAGCTTCTCCTTGTGTAGTTGAACGCTTGATCTTGATCTAATACCAATTGTCAAGATCAAGCACTTAGCTTCTTACCATTTGTTACTTGGCCAAATGCGAGTTAAAAATAGTTTCACCGCTAATATCCTTATGTTCAAAGTACAAACCCAGACCTTACTTTGACACCATTCCAAAGGATTAATGGCAAGTCAAATGTGAGTTCATGAACATAGCGGAACCTGAATTTCCCAGCAATCGGTAGTTATACCCATGCGACCATGCAGTTTGAACACATGACTTCATACTAATGCTAATATTCTTTAGGATAAAGTGCTTACAATTGGGTCAGAAGTTATAGCTGTAAACAGGGTGCGACTCTATTTTCCTAACCAGTTATTGAGTATCTATCAAGCGTTATACTTACAATCAAACATTCATCGTATTTCAAACATGAAGGAGCCTGGTCAGCATGTCCTTGCCTTGATTTGCCAACATTTCTTCCTAATGAACATGGTCACCGTGCTTAGGATGCGCACCTTCGTCAACTGTACAATGGATTTGGGATTTTTACTTTCAAAAGTAAGGTTTAGATGTTTTGTGGGCTCTGCTCATTAGGTTTGGTTTGTTATGTAGAAATGATTTGCTTGAAGACATTCAGCTTTTCTTTATGTTTCGTGATAAAGTATCAGTGAAGGAACCCCCCCCCCCGGGGGGTATCTAGCAGTATAAATGACAGAAGTGAAGATTGAGTTTTCTTCCAGAGACAATGGTTATTTAAAAAAAAAACAAAGAAAGAAAAAAGCTATGTTTACATGGAAATAAATTTAAAAAATCATGTATTTTCTATGGTGCAAACAAAGCACAAATTTTGTTCTTTGATGCTTTTATGGGTTATGTTTTTTTTTTTTTATTGACCAACGATGGGAAGGAAAAAATGTACTTTACAACCCTCTCTCTCTCTCTCTCTTAAATGAAGATAGACCTTTTGGTTTTTGCTTATATGATTTCTGGATGGCTAAAAACATTTTATATGTCCAGAACTTAAGACACTAAAGATCAAACTGAAGATTAGACGAGTCGCTGAGAGTGAGTCTGTCGTCTTCACAAGAAATCTGTTGAAAAAAATGTAAGATTGATAGTTTGAAACCTCATTGCAAACCTTAGGGTTCTAGAGCCGCAGCATCATGTGGGTCTATGGGTGATAGCATACAAGTTTCCAATATTTCTTTTGGGGAGGGGGAACAGTAAAGGATTTTTTTTTTGGGGTTATTGAGCACTACATTTGGAACTATAAGTGATATTACTGTTCATGTATAGAGAATATAACATCGAATGGAAGACTAGGGATGCATACATTCAGCCAGTTTCTGGCCTTGGTATCAATTGGCATGTTATATATAGTCATCAGGCTACAGGAGAATGTCAGAAGTATTTAAACCTAGGGTTTGGTTTGTTTATATAATGGTCAACTAGAAAATAAGATAGTAATTAGGTATTCAAGTTGCATAAATTTATGAGTAGTATTTGTGACTGTTGGGTATTGATCTACCTGTGAGCTACTTGAATTCAGATTATGAAAAACTTGAGTTTGGTTCACCTTATTTAACAAATGAATGAATTTTGAAGGAGAGATTAAGCAAATGTAATTCAGGAGCCAAGCTTTAAAGTTGCTTTCCAGCCCACAGGTTTGCAAATACTTTTGCAGGAATTTGCTATCCTTTCAATAGCATCAAATCTATAAAACTATTTGTAACTTTTTGAGCTGGGCTTGCTCAGAGTGCCAGGCTTACATATTGTAGTTGAACAGGCATAAACATAGAAGTATTCAGATTGGACAAAACAGCCAAAATCCTTTTTTTTGGGGGGGGGGGTGGGGGCGGTTTTGAGGTAGCTTAAAAGGCTTAGCATGACATGTTATTCTTGTAAGTCTAAATATTCTTTCTTGAAGAGCTGTCATTGTTCTTGCAGCATATTTAGCCCTTAAATCACTTTTTTGGCCCTTGATGATGAAATGTGTATGCGATCTCATATAGGGAGAGTTGGACAAATTTAAATACTAGATGCATATGAGCATTGCAGCCTTAAAGCTGAGCTAAATGGATGCTAATTAAGGGTTTTATGCGAATAAGCTAGATAATAGCAGAAACTTTATTCAAGTGGGCATGGATGAATTTAATTGAGGTGTCAGATCTCTGATGGAACCTTGCTACTACTGTTTTATTCACAGTTGTGATTAAACTGGATCATTGAAATAAAGTTTCTGATAAATAACCAACCTCAGTGGGAGGTTGATGATATTTAACCAGTAAGCACAGCCTAGCCGCCTAGCACACACACAAAGCAATAAGCAGAAGACAAAATGAAACATCACAGCCCTAACAGTATGCTATTTGAGAAGCCAGCACTCTACTCACAACCTCTCCATATCCCCCAACACGCCCACACACCATTACAATAACAACAAGCCTTATCCCACTAGGTAAGGTTGGTTACATAGATTACACAACATTATTATGCTCTATCAACTATATGTCAGAATTCCCAGCTCACCATCCTTATTTGTATTTTTCTTCCTACTATAAACTTGGGCTGAAAAGCCAGGCTAACTATTAGATAAATTACCCCAAGCCCAACAATTTCCTTTGCATTCAAGCTGATTAATGAAGTTGTTTCCTGATCAAGCTGCCTTGTCATTGATTGGACGTAATATTTTTTATTAGCATCTTGTCCTCTTGGGCTGACAGTGCCTTCTGCCCTTCTCCCTTCCTTCTGTTTTAATATGAATTTTCCATGATATTACTTCAGTGTTAGTCCAGATTGGAATTTTGTCGAGGACCATGTAATTGCAGATATTATTGACATTTGAATTAACGACTTGCAGGGTTGATGTTGCTGTGGCAGTTATTTTCGCCTTATCATTCTGCATCCTTTCAGTGTTAGCCTGCATTACCCTTTACTTCAGGCGCTTTTGGATTTTCTTGGTTGTGGTATGCCTCAGTATATCACTTTTTATACGCCTAAAAGTCTCTAGGCAAGCATTAGCAAGAAAGAGAGAAAGAAGACTGCCATTGTCCATATAAACATTTACAGCGATGATGATATCTAGCATAGCATACCCTGGTAGGCCAACAAGGACTTATTTGATGGCTTTTGCTTTATTTGGTCTTTCATGGATGTTTCAGCAGACAGTAATAGTTAGAACAAAAATTGACATTTTGCCTGCTGCTTTTAAAGAGAAGATATCCAGTTTCAGAATCTGTATACCCTAGTTAAGTGAATTCATCTTTCACTTTTTTGAAATGCACAGATCATACTGTCAAGTGCAGTCAACAGCCATTAGGTTTCTGTCCTTTTTTCCCCTTTTTTGCGATCAGCTTGTAATTTGTCTCAAGGAATTCAGGCCAAGATTTTCTGTAATTTTGAGATATCTCATATATTTGAGCATGGATAGTTTAGAGCTGTATATCTCTTTTCTTTTGGATAAAAAGTTGAAATCTGTAGACTTTGCGAATATGAATAATTTGAGATGAATAGATAATAGGAAAGCCCCATCTGAAATTTGCAGGCGAGCTGTATTGGATAATATTGTCAAGTCACTGCAAGTTTTATTCTGTTCTTTTATGATATAGTCATGTTGTTTTTGGCTAAGACATAAATTTTGACATGCTTTCCTCTGAAAGCTCACCAAGTCATTTTGGAAGTCTAGATGTGCACTTGTTTCATTGATGATAAGATCAGTTTCCAACGTGGTTTTTGCGTTTGTTGAGGAAGAACTCTGCTATTGTAAAAGACAAATGGTCCTGGCAATGGAAACTGGGAGAGATCATATATCTTACCTATGTTAATTGTTGGGTTCCTAGGAGCTTACACTTTGTAACAGATGAGGATAGAATACAGATGACAGATTGAATGTTAAACAACATATCAAGATTATTTGATATAGAGAAAACATATTCAAGATCATTTTTTCCCTGGGGATAACATTGCCCAAAAAATGTATGTTTGGTGGCTTTGTTTTGACAAATCAAGGCAGGGTCCTTCGCCCCTTCTTCAAGTATCTTTTTTCGCTCCTCGTTTGAGAGTTTCAACATTTTTTAGTGTGCAGATAAATTATTTCTCAGAGAGTGTATGACTGATTAGGAATTGTGAAATTAGTCGTTGGGGAAGCTCTATTAGATGAACTTTAGTTGGCCACTTTTATCAGCTTCTCATTGGCACACTGCTTATTTGGTGTCTTCAATGTTCGTTCTGATATGGAGAAATAGGCATAACTTCATCTATAACTTCATCAGTAGTTGGCAAGCGAAGTCCAAAGTATTTGCATTCTTTGATGTCCATGTTTTTAAACTAATCTAGAGCATTGTCATGACGGTCCCCCAGGGGTCCATCTCGTTATATTTAGTTATACTTCAGTCGTCTGCTTTTACCAATTTCACATTGGCACTCCGACTATACAATATCTTATGTTTGTTCTGGGCGAATGACACTGATGAAGGAGCTACCAGCTTTGAACTCATTCCCACGCACTTTAAGCCAAAGCTCTAAGCCCATGAGACATGAATAAGCCAGTATTTTAGGACTTGTTTGAAACTTATTTTAAGAATAGTTTTCTGTTCTTCAGAAGAAGAGAACAAAAAACTTTGTTTGGTAACGTATTTTTAAAAAGTATTTTGAAAAATAAAAAAAAGCAAAATATTGTTTTGAAAAACAGAAAAATGAAAATAACTTTCAAGTATTTTGTGATTGTTGTTTTGGAAAATAAGAGAAAATAAAAAAACATCTATTTTTTTTTTTTGTTCTTAGAACATATTCTATAAAACATCAATCGTCAAAATAATAAAACAAAAACAATTTCAAACAACCCCTTAATGTTCGTTTCTGCTGTAGAGAAATAGATATAACTTCAGAAGTACATGTTGTGTGCTCAGCGAAATTCGTAGTATTGCATTCTTCAGTATCTATTTCTTAGTAATCTAGAGTGCTGATGTGGTCCCCCTAGGGTCCGTCTTGTTATATTTAGATCGGCAATAGTCGGTCGCATTTTTCGTTTCTCGTTGGCATTCTGGTTATTGAAGATCTTCCATGTCTGTTTCTGATATAGAGAATTAGGTGTAACTTCAGAAGCAGATGTTGGCAAATACAGTGAAGTCCAAAGTTGTGCATTTTTGGGTGTCCATGTTTCTTAGTAATATGAAGTGCTGTTATGGTCCCCTAGGGTCCATCTTCTTGTGTTTTCCTTTAAATATTGCTCAAGGCATGGGGTATCATGGGCAAGAAAAAAAAAAGGCAGCATAACCTTTAAAAAAAAAAAAATCAAGTGGGATTGCACTTGGTGGCACACAGGTGGCATGATTGCTCTAAAATAATGAGTATGTGGCCCTCCCACAGGCGTCTTTCAAATGTGTTTAGGGGGTTCTTTTGGGTAAATAGTTGAGTATGAATGATGTCCTGGAATTATTGTTGCCCCGCTATGATATTTTCTGCTGAATGACTTGAACAAACACAGAGAGGAGAAACCCATCTACTTATCTTCCAATAGATTGAAACTGAACCCAATGAAATCATTTGATACATCGCACAATTTGAAAAGTTTTTTAATATTATTTCGCAATGCTACTTTGTTAATTTATTGGTAATAAGTTTATAATTGTGTGATATTGATTGAGTTGTTGCAAGTTATATTTACTCTTTAAAATAAATAGATTAGTTGAAAGTACTATTTATAGGTTAAAGAGAGAAAATTAATTTTAATATTATTTATAGGATGTTTCACTATTTTTATATACATCTTTTACCTTTCACTCTTATAAAATATTTAGAAAAATTATTAAGAATAGTTTTTTTTTGTTTTATTAGGGATAGAGATGAAAACTTATTGAATTTTAAAATAAAATTAATAAAATTTAAATTTTTTTTAATTTTAATAAAATATATTAAAAGTAATTTAAAACTGTTATAATTAATTTGGTTTTACACATGAACAAACAAATATTGTGCACTGTAAACCAAAAATGGTGCCCATGAATCGCTATTTTGGTTGTACACTAGTGGACAATAAGTTCTATTAAAGGTAAAACCTGACGGTGGGTGGCGGGGATTTTTTGGGGGGAGTGATACCTAACACTTGATGATTATTTTTATTAATGCTTGAAAGTTTTAGATCACTAATCAAGAATGCCGCATATATTATAATCACCCTGATAATTAAAAATTATTAAGCATTGAAGGCCTTACTTGACAATTATTTAAAAATAACTATAAAGTATATGCTTGCATTTTTATTTCCGTAAGCTAATATTTAATAATTATTTTTAAATAACCATCGAGTATATAAATATATATTTGATAGTTATTATATAATAAGTGTCAAATATATCTTTATCCAACATAGATTTAGATATCATATATATTTCATAGTTACTAATATAAAATTATTAAATATATGTTCAAATACTTGACGATTGTTATGAGACAATTATTAAATATTTAATATTTTTTTATTTATTGCTTTTATATAATAACTATCAAGTGGCATCTAATTTAATCATGCAAGTAAGGTATAGAGAAGGAATATTTGCATCTCTTAAACAAATTAGCTTCCTTTTTTCTATACGAAAGCCAAAAAAGCTGCCGTCTTACTGATTCTTATTGCCTCCAAATTTGTGCTAGTTACATCAGAATAGAATTGAAATGTGCCCGGTAATAAACAAATAAAAACGTAGAAGGCCATCTCCAAGGCACCCACAAGTAACATTGGGCAAATGAATTACAGACTAACTCGCATGAATTGATATTTTTGTAAATTATATTGGGCTAACTCTTCAAATAAAATAAGTTAAAAAATTTTACTCAACTCATTTTTTACCGAGTTGGCTAACCCATCGGTTGACCTGAAAAAATGTATCAGAAATTTTTTTAACAATTTAAAATTTATATAATATAAATATATAATATATATATATATATATATATTCATGTTTTAAAGTAAATTAGTAATTAAAAAACTTGTAAAAAAATAAAATAAACATAAAATTCAATCAAATAAATTTATTTTGTTAAATTTTTACTATTAATTATCTTCTTACCTAGGTGTGTTATATTTCTCATTGAGAAAAAAATTTAAATATAAATCCATATTATTTTTCTCAATAAATTTATATTTATGATTTAAATTAATAGATCTTATGAGATTAATAAATAATATATATTTAAAATATTTTTATGAAAATTAATAAATCATCGATTTATAAACTATAACAAAAATTTTATTTTCAAATTATAAAAAGAATTTATATTATATTTTGAATGTAAAGAATATATTTGGGAGTCATAAATTATATGTTTGACAAATATTGTCATTATTATAAATTTATAAAAAAAATATAATGTAATTAAAAAAATTATTTTTAAAAAATATGGTAGCTCGCGAGCCAGCTCGTTTAACCAGCTGACTAACCCGTTTTAGCTTGTTAGTTTTGAAGGTTGGGCTAAGCTTAACCCGTTTTAAAAAAGGTCCAATTTGTTCAATTTAACTTGTCAAATTTTGCAGGTTAAACAAACTAGTCCATGAGCTCAACTCATTTTTTCAGCTCTACCTATAAGACTACTGTAGGTAAGAATGGCTTCACACAATATGGGTTTGAATTAGTCTGGGCAAGTAATGATAATACCCTGAATTTCTTAGGGTACAACTGATGAAATCAAAAGAGAATTAAAATGTGTGCTTGGTATTATTTTTTCTATCCCTATAAATAAGTCCTAATTTTTACATTCGTTTTTCTCTAAAAATAAATCCAAATACAGATTTTTTTAGATATAATCAATACTTGTTTTCAAAAATAAGGTTAAAGTAAAAATATATTCCTAAAGTTTTTCTACAGGTGCAAAAAGTATTTAACAGCGCAAGCTCGCCCTAACATTTTTAAAAATTATACAAATTTGCGTTGCTATCCTAGAATTGTTATGTTGACTGTTAACATTAACTTTTTGATCAATTTAGCATCCACATCACTTGTCATGTGTGATGTGGTTATTTTAAAAAATAAATTTAAAAAAAAAAAAAAAAAAGCTTAAACGCTTCATTCTTGCTTCTTCGTAGTCTCTCTCCCTCTTCCTCCTTCAGATCCTCCTCTCTCCAATTCCTCTTCTCCCCTTCGTAATCTCCCTCCCTCCCTTGTGTTGGTCAATCTAGATTGCTGCCATTACCTCTTTTTGCTCCATGGTAGACCCGTGGGCAATAATTATTTGCAGGATCGTCGATCTGGGTTAGGAAAGGGAAAGGTTAGTGTCCTAGAAACCTTCGATTGAACGCAAGAATGGCGAATATGAAGTTTCTCGCCCAACTTCATGGCAGCAACGACAAATCTAAAGGACCCATGTTCTCAGTTATATCTTTGATCTAAAATCTCGCCTCTTGGTTATTCTCTTGGCCTATGAAGACTCTTCTACTACCATCTCTCCAAG